TGCCCGGGCTTACGGCGGGGGGTGGGGGGGGGGTGCTTACGGGAGATGATGCCTGTGAAAGTGCTTTGCAGACTGCAGAGTGGTCTGGGAAAGCAAACAGCAATAAATAAGACCAAAAAGCACAGGAGCCGAGGGAGACCCTTCTAAAGTTGGGGCGGCGCATTTTCCCATAAAGGGCCAGACGGTCGGTACTGCTGGCTTTGTGGGCCACATTTGGTCTTTGTCATATAGTTCTTTGTTTTTGCTTTTATAATCCTTTAAAAAATGTAAACACCATCTTAGCTTACAGGCCCAGGGCTGGAATGTGTGGCAGTGAGAGCCCAGAGAAGGTAGGACATTTACCTGAAGTCACACAGCCCACTCACGACGGTAAGTAAAATCCTAACCTGGCCTCTATCCTCCTGTGTGAGCTGACAACATGGGTTTGTGTCAGCTTATTCTGATCCTGGGAGTCGTGTCACTGGTCCTCACAATAGGAGCCCGCTTGGCATTTGTTCAACAAAAAGACACTGCATCCTAGGCCCCCTGCAGGCCATGGAGAAGCTGGAGACCTGAGTCCAGACTTACGGGGGGGAGCTGGTCTCTGAGCTCCCTTGTCTCCTCACCCCTGCATGGGATGTCTGAGCGTCTTGCTTGATGCCTGTGTTCCAGGAGGGCTTTGGAAATGGTCCCAGGGAACTGTGCGAGTGAGGGCTGATTATCACTATCCCCACGAGATGACATCATCAAAATGTGTGGGAAACACAAAATCCTTGTAACACAACACTGGGTTGTATTAGTCACTGAGGCAACTGTGAAAATACTGGAGTCCAAAACGAAATGCCGTCAAGCAGGCTGGCCCTAGAGTCAGCAACAACTGCAGCCGGACAAGGGCACGAGGGGTGCAGAGGTTGCTTAGTTCCTGCCGCCTCCTGACAGCTGGAAGAACTGTCAGTTTATTTGAGCTCTGCCATTTTCTAGGGGTGAAACCATACCTTGTCCAGGCTTCAGCCTTCTCACCTGGAAAATAGGGATGCTACTGCCTCCCTCACAGGGGCATGAGGTGATAGGCGGGGCAGGTAAGATGCTCAGCCTGGTTCCCTGTGCACTGGGAGCAGATGATTACAATGCTCAAGACCCACACCTGATGAAGCCAAACTCACTTTAGCACTCTGGGCAGGCTTGAACCAGGAGTCAGGGGTGTGGAGTGACTCCTGGGTGCGGCTAGGCCAGGGGTCTGGATTGGGGGTGACCTTTCTAGAAACACCAGAGCCTGGGGTTGCATCTGACACTACTGAGCTGTCACCAGCTTGTCACCCCTGCTCTTGGGTAACATCAGCGGGGTGGGTATAGGCTCCAGCTATCACTCATCCTCATACTCAGCAAGCAAAGGTGAGATAAACACAGAACCAGCATCTGCCCACTGGGTTGCCAAAGCCTTCGCTCATGCAGCCCAGCCTTGGCGTCCCATGCCCGGGCCAGCTACATCAGCCTCCTAGCACAGGCAGCTCTGAGAAATGACAGCTGGCACAGCCTCCTTTCCCTTGGGGTAACTCATGCCCTCCAGAGCCCTGCAGGCTGGCTTTGGCCTCCAAATGCTCTGTGCAGGTTCCTGTCTGAGGCCAGCCGCCTCTGCACAGCCCAGTCTCCTCGGACGCAGCACTGCTCGCCTCACCTCTGCCTTCCCTGGCCTCACCTGTCCTCCCACCCGTTCCTAACAGCAGGCCCAGGCCATCCCCAGGCCCAAGTCCTATCCTGTGGCTCTAGGCTTTTCTCTTCCCTTTTAATCCAATGAGCATTTCAACTGTACCAAAATCTTTACACGATGGCCTCCCTGGTCCTGGGTGACACGTCCCTTCCTGAATGACTTCTGGGACCAGGAGATGGCCACACTCTCCTTGGCCTCTGTAGACAACCTGCTCTCTCATCCAGTGATGCCCTCCTTTTCCCTCAGGCGAGAACAAACCCCTTGGTGAGATGACCTCTAGGCCCCTTAGACTCTTCCTCTGTGGCTTATTCTGATCCTGGGAGTCGTGTCACTGGTCCTCACAATAGGAGCCCTCTTGGCATTTGTTCAACAAAAAGACACCGCATCCTAGGCCCCCTGCAGGCCATGGAGAAGCTGGAGGAGACCCGAGTCCAGCCTTACGGGGGGGGGGGGGGGGGGGGGGAGCTGGTCTCTGAGCTCCCTTGTCTCCTCACCCCTGCATGGGATGTTTCCCCCGCCACCTGCAAGTCTAACTCTTTGATCTGGTTATCCAGGTTAATTTCCACGTGTCAATTTCCTAGTTTCCCTGTTTTTGATTTACAATTTTATCTCCTTGTGGTTGGAGTACTTACTCTGTATTTCTTTTTTTTTTTTTTTGAGATGGAGTTTCGCTCTTGTTACCCAGGCTGGAGTGCAATGGCGCGATCTCGGCTCACCACAACCTCCGCCTCCTGGGTTCAGGCAATTCTCCTGCCTCAGCCTCCTGAGTAGCTTGGATTACAGGCATGTGCCACCATGCCCAGCTACTTTTTTGTATTTTTAGTAGAGACGGGGTTTCACCATGTTGACCAGAATGGTGTCGATCTCTTGACCTTGTGATCCACCCGCCTCAGCCTCCCAAAGTGCTGGGATTACAGGCTTGAGCCACCGCGCCCGGCCTTTTACTCTGTATTTCAATCCTTTTACATTGGAGGTGGGTTCTGTGACCTACAAACAGTCTCCCATGCAGCCCTTTCCATGTCCACTTGAGAACGACGTGCACCCCGCTATGTGGGTGGGGAGTTCTACACGTCTGTTAGGTCTGGTTGGCTGGTAGTGCTGTTCAAGTCCCGTTTCCTTACCGATCTTGTCTAGATGTTCTATCCATTACTCAAAGTGGGGTACTGCAGTCTCCAACTCTTAGGGTTGACTCGACTTCCTCCCTTCAGTTTTGTCCGTGCTTGCTTTGCATCTTTGGGGGCTCTTTTCACGCTACACCACACCTCTCAGGGATCGTGGATGCTATGGATGCTCTCCCCAGAGCAGCATGTCCAGGTCAAGAGTGAGGCTCGAGGCTCCAGAGCAGCCCTGGAACATCGTGGTACTCCCAGGTATTCTGGATTCATCCTTCCTTTCACCCATCACCTCCAACCTGTCAGCAAGTCCCGTTAGCTCTAGCCCCTTGAGAATATACCCTTCCATCCTGCCTTAGTGACCTCCTCAAGCACGGGGTCCCCTCGGCCACCAGGCTCTGGCCATGTGGCCTCCTGTTATCTGAACATGTTGACTGCTTCTGCCTCAGAGTGCTGCTCTGCCAGGGCATAAGCACCCTCCCTCCAGGTCCTCGCGTGTCTAAGATGCTATGAGCGTCACCTCCAGGGTAGGCATGCACTTACTCCCTATCCCCACAGCCCCTCATGAGCCCTCTCTGGAGCTACTCTGTTTTGTTCTATCAAAGAGGGAAATGATCTCAGGGGTGTCTCCTACAACACAGTTCATCCACCCAACACCAGGACACCCTGCACAGAAGGTGCTTGCTGAGGACTTGCTGCATGGGTGGAGTCTGTGTCCCCCCATGATGTCCCCTTCAGTGACCCTGAGAACAGGTGCCTAGGCAGGCAAGATTCAGATGCTGCCTGACCCCTAACCTCAGGAGACCCTCAAATCCGTGCCCCAAATCTCTTCTCTTGGTCCTGGAAAGGCTAGGAAGCCAAGGCCTGGGAAGGAGAACATAGGAAGATTCCAACCCCGGGGGAACCTCTTGCCAGCAGCTCTCCACTAAGAGCCAGAGGAGGGAAGCAAGAAAACAGAGTGCGTACCTGTGGACAAGCTGGCTCTTCTAGAACTCCTAACCCGCTGCCCACCTGAGGCGCCGCCTGCCCTCTGCCCTCGTCCAGGCCTCCCTACCCTGTACCTTGCTGGGATGGAGGGCCTCTCCTCTCAGGAGACGTTGGAGCTTGCTGTCCAGCTAGCTCATGCTGTCTTCCCCAAGGCAAACAAAGGTTTGGGGTGCAGGAAGCCCCTTTAAGCCACCCAGCCCCGCACACGGCCAATGTCAGCTTCCCAAACATTAAAGCTCCACAGACATTTTCCATTTCCCAGACTCGGCAGCCCAGGAGTCTGGACATGTTTGGTGTCAAGGCAGTCTGGGGCCACCCCTCATCCCAAACAAGGAAGGGGTCCTCAGAGGTTGGTCCTGAACAATGTCTGGGACACACTTGGGATCAGGCCCAGAGGTCTGCAACCAGAGCTCAGGAGGATTTTAAAAGCAAGCTCCAGGCTGGGCGCGGTGGGTCACGGCTGTAATCCTAGCACTTTGGGAGGCTTAGGCAGGTAAATCACCTGAGATCAGGGGTTCGAGACCAGCCTGTGCAACACAGCAAAACCCCGTCTCTGCTAAAAATACAAAAATTAGCCAGGTGTGGTGGTGCATGCATGCCTGTAATCTCAGCTACTCAGCAGGCTGAGCCAGGAGAATCACCTGAACCCAGGAGGCAGAGGTTTCAGTGAGCCAAGACTGCGCCACTGTACTCCAGCCTGGGCAACAGAGTGAGACTCTGGCTCAAAAAAACAAAAACAAAAGAGCAGGCTCCAAGGACTCGAGCTTACTGGGGAGGAGCGAGGACAGAAGCTGGACATGAGAGCCTCATTTCCTCCTCCTCCTCCTCCTCCGCATTTCCCAAACTAGATCCACTGCCTGCGAGCGGCAGGACTTCAGGACGACACCTGGGAATGCTGGGTCAGCACCCATTTCAACACCTGTGATGACAACATCCCAGATTAATAATAATGAGAAAAGATGAAGACGCCCTCCAGCGGCTCTGGCTGCAGGCTGGCCAGAGTGCTGATCATGCGCCCCTGCCGGCAGGGTGGCGGCTGACCTCGCAGCAAGCTCCCATCAGGAGCCACAGGGACCTTGTGGGAAGTAGCTCAATTCTGTGAGGCATGTGAGTCCCTGTTGCTAAGTACAAGACAAGGGGGCACATCCCATCTGGAATGGGAATGCAGGGGTGGGAAGCGTTGGTTCTTTGCATAAGGAATGAAACAGTGAAAATCGTGGTTATCACATTTATTAAGAATTGCCCTGTTCAAAACACGCGGCTCTTGTGAGACTGCCTGGTGTGGCCTCAAGGAGGACACGGGTGCCAAGGTGGCCCAAGAAAGGGGACAGCGCTTTCAGAAGCCGACCCGATGGATACAAAGACAAGGAGGAAACAGGAAGGAATGGAACCGTCTACCCGGTCCCCTGAGAAAGTCCAGAAAGCAAGGCCACCTCAGATAAAGTCCCTCTAGAAAACCATGGCAACCATGTGGTCTACCAGGGCCTCAGTGAGTCTGACAAGTTAGAAAATCTGGCTGGTCATGGCTGGATGCCTGGGATGCAAAAGAAATTGTGGGCCAGTTCAGTGCTTTTTATTCTGTGACTGACACGACCAGCTCAGAAATTCTTGTCAAACAGGCAGGCCCTGAGATAACCAAGGGAGAGGCGGCTTCCGCAGGTCTGAGTGTAGAGGGGTGCTGAGGGCCAAGTCCTGTGCAGGGGCTGGAAGGTGGGGGGCAGCTGTCTGGCCAGAGGGACTCATTCCAGAACCTTCTTAAGCTCCCTGGTGGGTCTAATAAACATGTCTGAGGCTCCGCAGGGCCTTGGCAGGGAGCTTCAGTCCAGTACAATTCCAGCAGGCTCAGAGTGAGTGCCTAGAGCTGCCTGCTTTCTCTGGATCAAACAGAGAACTTAACTGGGATGTGGTTTCGTCTTCTTCAGACTGTCTTCTGAGAGCCAGGGAGTCTGATATATAGAGACTTTTTCCTGGTACTGAGTCTTCCATGGCCAGGGTTCTGAAGAGACTGAAAGATGATAAGGGCCCTTTATAAGCAACAGCAAGCCACTATTTATCACCAAGAACTCTCAGCTTTACATTCCCCACAAGGGACTGTGGAATAAAGCCAACTAGACGTGATGGATGAGACCTGCTGGGTAACAAGGGGGCGGTTTCCTGAATTCCAGTGTGATACACAGTGAGACCCAAATTTCTTCTGATGCAAACGAAAACAGTCTAAGTTCATCAAAGAAAACTCTCAGGTCAAGCAGCGGCTGGGGTTGAGTTTCAGCTGACTTGATCTATGGCTTAACTAACCTAAAATAAAGTCTATTTTGCTCTGGGCTCTGAGAAGGCCCAATTAGTAGAGAAAGCCAATTAATGGGAGCCCTCAGCAACCAGCCAGGGTATTGGTATTCTCTGCAGACAGCCTGAGGGAAGGAGCCCTGGACAGCTCAGAGCTGTCACAAGTGGCTTCTGAGAGTGGGGATCCGAAAGTTGCGAATGCTAAAACTGCAAGGAGCATGTAACAGGCGTGGCCACCAGTGCTATACTGGAACATTTACACAGATCCCTGCAGCCCCCAATCCTGGCTGTCCCACGGTGACTACAAGCTCATCCCAAGGCTCTCTGCCATACAGGTTCACCTTTCACTTGCCGGTGTGGGGGACTACTTGAATTTCTCAGGATCACAGCCTCAGACCCAAAGTCCCTAAGAATCAGGATGCTGAGATCTACCTGGGCCAGCCAGGACCCAGAGATGAATACCTGTACGAGGTGAGGCCCCTCCGGACACTCCAGCATGGGTTCTGTGAGAAGTTCGCAGGGCACCGAACAGCCTGTGTGCTCTCAAAGAGCACCTGCTGCCACAACAGTTCTGTGATCCACTTGTCTGTTTGCTACTCTCATTCCAGAACCTGTCACCTCTGCAGCTGGGGAGTCTTATGTGGGCCACATTTTTCAAACCCAGGCACCTCTAGGGTAGACCCTAAAAACAAACTATCTGTTCGCAGAGAGCTGAAGATAGAAACATTAGAACACCATCTCCTGTGCTCTCAAAGACCAGAGGCGCAGAAACTCACCACACCTGACTCAGGAGAAGTTTCCAGCAGCTGCTCTGCCAACAAAAGAAAGGCGCAGCCACCTCCTAACTCTCGCTCTGGCAGCTGTCACATGCGTTCGTGGGAGGGCTGTGCTCCCAGGGCACTGTGGGACAAGTGCCTCCTGGCTGGACTCCTTTCCGTGGATCCCATGTCTCAATACCCCAAACCTACTTCTGCACCACAAAGGCCACTACTGCCGATTCCCCGCCTAGCCGCTGGCATGGATGGAGAAGCAACAGCCTCTGTTGCTTCTTTTTCCATCACACACTGACTCTTCCAAAATGTTAACACAAGACTCCAACCCACCCGTGGCCGAACAGTGCTTCTCGAGTGTCCTGGGGTTTGGTGGCTGTAGCTGAATGTCAATAGTGTCCTTAAAAAGGGGGAGACTGGTGTGTGCTAGAAGGAATCACTGAGGTCTGGGGTAAGGTTTGGGACTGTGCCAGGCTGGAAGGCTGCCTGGTGCTCAGGCAGGTAGTAGAGCTGGGTCCCTTCTTTTCTTGTTAAGAGTCCTTTTTCCCTGTCCTGAGAATAGGGGTCTTCTGTCATGAGTTACCTAGAGGATGGAGTTTTCAATCCTGAATGTAGGATAATGTTTACCTTTCCCAATTTATCAAACTTCAAAAACCAAAGACATTTCTTGTTCTTGAGAGTTCACAGTCTTCTCCACCTATAATCTTCAAAAGGCTTCTTAATACAAAGATAAAGGGCTCAGGGGATTCCTTCTGGGTTCAAAGGAAGAGTCTTTTCTTCTTCCTGCTTTGATTGAAGACAATCAGTTCACCGCCTTAACCACAGTCCAAACACAATCAGTCTTGCAAAGCAATCTGTGTTGGAGAGCGCCTCTTCCTAGATATCAAAGGAAGCCTTAGCTTCTTGGGTTTCTAAGATACTAAACTTCAATGCCCGCATTCAGGGAAACAAGAAAGAAAAATGGAAGGAGGGTGAAGGGGTCAGATCAGGTTTGGAAGGTTCTACTTCACATGACTGAATTCCTCCTGACCCCTCATGTCTTTTTTGGGAAATAGGATTCACCTCTTGCTGTGGGTATATATTCCCCCAATTTAGAAAAGAGTAAAAAGGGACTTGATCTTCCCTGACTTTTCAGCAGCACAAATTAAAGGGAGTTGGAAGAAATCCCTGTCATTTTTTTTTTTTTTTTTGAGACGGAGCCTCACTCTGTTGCCAAGGCTGGAGTACAGTGGCACGATCTCAGCTCACCACAACCTCCACCTCCTGGGTTCAAGTGATTCTCCTGCCTCAGCCTCCCGAGTAGCTGGGATTACAGGCATGCGCCACCACGCCCAGCTAATTTTTGTGTTTTTAGTAGAAACGGGGTTTTCACCATGTTGGCCAGGTTTGTCTCGAACTCCTGACCTCAGGTGATCCACCCGCCTCGGCCTCCCAAAGTGCTGGGATTACAGACGTAAGCCACTGCGCCCAGCCTCCTTGTCATCTTTTAAGATACCATCAGCCTATTACAATGAGCTAGGGCCAGGATCTGAGGGACCCGAGGGGAAAGGGGCCGGTCTGGGTTGGCGTCTCCTTGGGCAATAGGAGTGCCAAGTAGGTGTGGACTTACCCCTGCCAGTTCTCGCGGAAAAGGAGGAAGCTGGGCTTCAGGAGCGGGAGGCGGAGGAGTGCTGGCTGAGGCGCCAGCAGGGGCAGGAGGTTCTAGGGCATGCTCGCCAGCTGACTCGGGGTGACCCGTGCCATGGTGGGGGGCCTCAGCCTCCCCCCGAGGCTCCTCTCCCGAATCCGACAAGTCTTTTTGCTCTGCAGGGGACTGGGAGCACAAAAGACAATTTTCCTTCAATGTGAATAAAGGCTGCACCAGACAGCAGGGAGGGCGGGCAGGGGTCAGAGGCTGGAGATGGCTCGGCCTGCAGCAGCTCCTGTGCCTGAAAGGACGGTGGGGAGAGCAGGCACTTGCTGCTGGGCTCTGCTCAATAAAACTGGCTCTCACGGCTGACGAAAAGGAAAGTCAGTGGGACTGGGTGCCATGTGACTTTGCAAGGAGCTTGGCGGTGTGTGAGAAGCAGGACCCTTGTTTCCAAAACTACAGTCTGCCTGACAAGGAGCTACTCAGCTTATGGGCCTTGGTGATCAAGGAACACAGATGATCATGCAAAAGATTTAAATTCCTTTAGTATCTCAGAAATACTGAAGTGGGGGAGTTGGCCATCAGCACCATTTCTGTGCTTTAGGAAAGGGGAAGGTGGGGCTGGAATCCTACAGTTAGGGAGAAACCAGGGAGGCGTGGGTCAAGGGCTTCTGTTTCTCACTACAGTTCTTCTGGCACTTTCCATTTGTTCTGCTTACACCCAGGATGCACAAAGTGCTTTCCCACCTCAGTGAGTGCAGGTGTGGGGTGACACAGACACCAAGAGCTGGTTTTTGCATCAGCGGTAGGTGGGTAGTTCAGATGGAGGAGAGGGGCACATCCGCAGAGCCCTTGGGCCTAGGATTCTCCCAGGTGCATTCCTCAATACCCTGGGCAAGGGCTCATTGGAGAGCAGCCGGTTCTGGAGTCTTCCTCCCCACAGTACAACACCCGGCATCCTTTAAGGTGGTTCTTGGGACTCCGGCAGGGCTTCGATGGGCTGAGAGCTCTGTGGCCATAACTCCAAGACTCTTTTCTTGAGAAACAGGTTATACACCTGGCGTCCTAAAACAGACAGGTTCCAGTCCCCAAACCTCCCTCTTGGCATTGTCCAATGACATGGAGCCATTTCTTGTACTTGGTGACCTAACCGAGTACTGTACAGGGCTGCCCCATCTCCCCGTGGACGTGGTGGTGTTTCTTCTGAGTGTGAAGCGGCTGGTCTCCTTAGACAGGGCTTGGGCACTACTTAAAATGTAGGGATCTGGGAGGAGGAAAGGAACTACCGAAAGAGGATGTAAGAGAACGTTCACAAATTCCTAGGAAAGCAAAAGCAATCCTCACGTCTCAAAAGGACGCTGTCGCCTCTCTCTACCCAGGGCAGATCCACAGACCAGCCGCTCTCCAAACCTGCACAGGGCACTGTGGTCGGTCTGGCCACCCATGTGTGGTGCTACTTTATGGTTAGACACTTAACATCTCACAAGAGAAAAACTAAACCAAAATCTCAGTGGGGTACTGCCTATCTCTCATTAGAATCACCTGAATTTTTTGCAGCCACTGCTTTTGAAATGTAAATATTCAAACACCCTCATGTAATTCAAAATGCTAAACAGGAGGACGAAGAGGAGAGTTATAAAGTAGAAATCCCAACATCAAAACAGAATGAAATTCATCATCTTTGGGTAAAAAGAACTGATTAGTACAAGTGTTGAGAAGTATTACATCACTCCCTCTCTCTCAGATTAGAAAATTTCTTGGGAGAATTAACCAATGTTATTCCAGCATTTTCTACCCGGGTCCTAGCATTTCTCCTGGGCAGGAAGAGTAAGTTCTAAAGAACCAAGATGAGACCTGGGGTTTTCAACATGCCTGGTAAAATCAGACATCAAGATTCTGCCAGCCTTTGACCTCATCCTAAAATTCACATGGCTGGCAAGAACCACATGCACCAGGGCTAAGCCCGTCACCCTAACTGTTAAGTAAGCCACAAAAATAGGTCTAAACATTCTATGACCACATTTTCAATCATACTGTCTGCTAAACAGCCTTTCTGTAACTGCCTTCTGTCATTTTACCAAATGGGCATGATTCTGCTAGTGTAATCTCAAGGCCTCCCCGCTTCAGGTTAACAAATGCTCTGGAGGGAGAGGAAATGAAAGAAATGTTTAGTATTTACAAATAATGGAATAGCCCACATAAGGATATTTACATTCTCTTCACATTAAAAAGAAAAAAGAAAGAACTTTACCTCCATCCAAGGCAGTTAAGAAAGGTTTGGTTTTTGCCGGCCCCCAACAATGGTGCCTGTAAATGTGCGTTGACAGCAGAGCCCTCTCCAGGAAGCCCAGGCATGGGAAGGTAGTAAATAACACTCCTGTGCTGACAATCTGGCTGTGACTTCATTGTAGGCACTAGGACTACAATTAAAACCATACACGGCTTTTTCTACCCTGGAACAATAGTAGGATTTGGCAACCTGACCCGAGGCTCAGTGATGCCACCGGCACCCACACGCAGGCCACAGTTCCAACCGGTAGTGTGCTGAAGCGCAATGTGACACATCAACGGGATCTGAAAACTGCTGTGTGGCTTTGCCACTGAACAAAAACAAAACACTCCCGGGCTAGCAGCTTAAGGCCTTTTCAACTCCAAATCCTTTTTCTAAATCATGGTTCGGCAATAAAACCTGAGCATATGGAGCGTCTCCTTGGAATGGCGTGAAGGGGGATGGGGGAGAGGAAGGGGCCCTTTTACTTACACCCCATCAGGTGGTGTGAGATCTCCTTTACTGAAAGGTAAGTCAGCTCATCCCAAAGTTGATGAGACTTCTTGATCTTTGGAGATCAAGAGGTTGTTAAGGTCACTACAAGTGACATCTGAGGGACAATTAGGACAACTTAAAACATAGACTATATATTGGAGGATATTACTGAATTAACCTTTTTTTAGAAGTAACATGGTAGTAAGGCCACACAGGAGAATGGCCTTATCCCTATGAGACACCCAAGGAACAATTCAGGGGAGGAATGTCACGTGGGCACAACTTCCAGTATCAGAGCTGCAGGCAGCAATGTTAACAGCGAAGCCAAATGCAGGACACCCATGTGTTGGTGGCATCATACCTTTCCAAGGATTTGAAATTTTTCAAAACAAAATGTTGAAGCACAAAGGCCAGGGGTCGGGGAGGGGATGGGACACTGCCTCAGAAAAACATCACTGCAGTTCTAACAGCTCACTCCCAGCTTAGCTTCTAGAGAGCAACAAGACAGGGATACGCCGATCATCTCCACAAGAGAGAATGAAACCAGAAGGACCCTCAAACCCTAATTTAAGACAAATACTGTGGCTGCTCCCTGCAAGCCCTGTACCAGAAAGCCAAGGAGAAGCAAAGTCAGCCGCCTGCCCTGTATGTTTACTTTCCACCTCACTCCCGAGTGGCAGGAAGGATTCCAGGGCCATGTGGACACTGTCATCCGACAGCAAAGCAAATGCCCATGAAGGCTCCTCCCGCCTGCCCTCAGCACAGAGTTTTCCCACATGCCTCTTCGGTGATGGTGCCACAGAAGTGCAAGTGACAGAAGTGGGCAGCTGAACTCCCAAGGCTGGAGGGCAGTTATTTTATTTTGTTAAGAACTATACTTGGCATTTTTAAAATGCCTTCCTAGCTGGCCTGGTTCAACTCCAACTTGTTTACGTAATTTGTATAGGCCCCTTGAAGGTCATACATGCAAATTAGCCTGCCTATCACAAAGCAATAGAACCCCCTTAGATGTGAAAACAGTACTGACACAGGAGCTAGTGACTTTCAAAGCACTTGTATTTATCTGAGCAAATATTACACGTTACTATTCATCTTGCTGCTTCTTGCTGCTTGCCCTAGGTCTTCAGATTTAAAGAATTATTGATTTCTATTATTTGTTTTAAACCAGGGGTGGCAAACTGTTTTCTGTAAAGAATCAGATACTACATACCTTTTTTTTTTTTTTTTTTTTGAGATGGAGTTTTGCTCTTGTTGCCCAGGCTGGAATGCAGTGGCGCAATCTCAGCTCACTGCAACCTCCGCCTCCCAGATTCAAGTGATCCTCCTGCCTCAGCCTCCAGAATAGCTGGGATTATAGGCATACACCACCATGCCCGGCTAATTTTGTATATTTTAGTAGAGACAGAGTTTCTCCATGTTGGTCAGGCTGTCTCAAACTCCCAACCTCAGGTGATCCGCCCACCTTAGCCTCC